AAATCTTTATGGTAGCAGAAAGCCTCATCTTTCTCCCACGGAACAAGCTGGTAGTTTCGAACTGCTGACCGTGAGATTAGCAGACCGATTCATAACCACTACACTACCATAGCTCCTTATATATAACTTTGGCAGAGGCTAATTCTATATACATATTTGTATGTGCTACAAATACATCCATGGATGTGGCAGAGCATATGAGTGTTAAAGCTATGAAAAGTTCTTACCCATAATCAAGCATCTTGAGAGACTGAGTCACTGGACTTGAGTGCTTAAGATTATAGTATAAGGGGACATCTAGGTCAATTGTCACAACAATCCACAAAGACAACATTCTACATCCTAGTTTGGTAAGTAGTGCCTGGGGTTTTAAAATTTCTGCGAGTGGCAATCTACGATATAACTACTGATCTCTTCCCATCAGAAACAATGAGGAGTGAAGAAAACAAAAGACTCGAGGAAATAATTAGTCCAAAGAACTAACAGATCACATGAACCAGAGTCTCAACTAGCCTCAGGCCAGGAGATATAGATGGTGCCAGCTACCACTACTGATGGTTCTGATGGGGATCACAATAGAAGGTTCTTGACAGAGTGGGGAAAAAATGTAGAACAAAATTCATCATCATATAGAAAGACCAGACTTACTGTTCTTATAGAGACAGGTGAAATACTTGAATCCATGGCACTTAGACACCCTTCAGACCTGGAACTGAATCCACCCACTCCCAGAGATAATCTTTCATCCAAACAATAGACAGTTCTATAAAGTAAACAATAATACTCCATGAGGAATGTCCTCCTCAGAACATGAGCTATATGAGACCAAAAGGGCAGCATGTGTCAAAAACTAAAGTTCAAAAGGCAGGAAACAAGACATGAAAATGGAGAACACAGGGAAGAAGTGGGAAGAATGATATTACATTGAGGGAACTATAACTAATGTCATGAAACAAAGTGTTGACAACTTGTTAAATGGTAGACTCATTTGCTCTGTAAATGTTCACTCAAACTACAATAAATATTAAAAATAAAAGTTGCTATTTAGGAATTCTTGAACTGCAAATGAATTTTCAGTTATCTCAAAAAGCTTAATTACAAAATAAAAGGAAACTGAACATGACACATTTTTTGATAAATGATAGAATAAAATTAAATATAAATGAACATTTTTTACAACCCCAAATACATGATAATTTTCTTTTCAAGTTTTTATTGTGAATTGAGTGATAGTTTACATGGGGGAACATCAGTTTTACGTTCATCTTACTGTATTCATTTCATTGCAATGATTACAATCCCCTGCATGCTTCATTATTCAACAGTATTTGCTTCTATTCCCTCTGGTGTTTCTTTTGTTAGTTTGTTTGTTTTTAGATGTGCACCAAAACACTCAGGAATACACAATCATTCAAACAGCCAAAGGGCACACCCTGTAAGCCTGTCCCCAGGCTGCCAGCACACATTCCCTCTCCCTACATGAGTCTCTCCATGTCATCATCTCTGCCTCCATCTCTAGCTTTGCCACTTCTCTGGGTAGGGTCCCACACTCCACTCCCACTCTTCTCCCTTGATGGTCCCAGGGTCCTCCACTCCGGGACTGTAAAATTGACCACTCACTCCTTTTTGCTACAAAACTTCTACCTTTACAGTTGTGATAATTGCAATTAGTCATGATAACAATTACTCACTATTGAATCATGAGAGTCTTGTCCCCATCGCCTTTCACCAGACCTGTCTAGACAAGATGAAAACCACTCAGT